TTCAAAGTTGTGTAAGATTCATTTAAAAAACTTATTTCATATTTATGAGAATGAATATCACTCTGAGTCTGTTAGATTCATCTTTTCATTAGTTATTTATAATGACTTTGCTTTTTCATATAGAAATATAACAGATCTTAAGACTTGTTGAAATTTCATTGACTATCTGTCTGTGAGTTCATGTTCAATTTAATAATATAATTGTATCTGACTTAGTCAGCTGATTATAGCATTATTTTTTCAGTTGTTATTGAAGCTTAGTAGCTCTGACAGATCTTCTGACTTGATATATTCTCTGCTTGAATTCTCATCATATACAGCAGTCTCAGATGATGTGTACACTTCTGAGAAAGTTGTGAATAATCATGATAAGATCTTCAGATTCAGTGTGATTATCTGTCTGTGTAAATATTTGATCTTCTGTTGCAGGTCTATGATCTGGTTTTCTCTATTCTTATTAATGATGATGATTGTGTCAGTGAAGCTCTTCATAGTGAATACTTGATTTACAGTGAATATCAATTGTTACTTAGCTTTCATCTCAGCCTGTCACTGCATATACAAGGTCTCAATCTCATTTAGAATTCTCATACATATACAGAGTTTCATTTCTGATTCAGTAATCTCAGCTGCTTTTCTTACTGCTTTGAGTAAACTCTTCAGAAGGTTCTGCATATCTTCTAGTTCAGATAGCAGAGAAGAATGTTGTTCATATTGACTAGAAAAGATGTTCATTTCAGTTGTTTCTCATTGATTGTACAATGTCTATTGTTATATTATTATATAATTATATTATGATATGATTTCTGTTATTATTATACAACTTCAGTAATAATCATCTCTCTTTTTATTCTTCTGAGTAGAAAGTGATCTTCTTTGAATCTGATTCACTGCTCTCATTTCTTTTCTCACATCTTATTCATTTATATATATAACATTTGTCTGAGCATGAAGTTTTTCTTCAATAAGTAGAGTAGTATCAATCAGATGCTCTTTCACTCATCACTTCTTCATACACTATCTTTTGAGATGTTTTAGAATCACACTGATATGATAACTATGAATTGCTTTGTAGATGAAATTACCACACTCTGAAGAAGCCTGCACTTCTCACTGATTTTTAGACATGCTATCAGATATGATTCAAAGGTTGCTTGAGTTAGTGTACAATTACAGACGTATACTGGCTTCTTATATATGTTATACTAAATTAATTAGTGGCTGCTATGGCCTCTTGACATTCGTAAGCATATTCGGAAGCGGCCGCGTTATTATCCGGCGGTCGTACATTCTTCTGAATCACAAAGATGTGATGTTTATCTAATTTCTTCATTAATTTTCATTCTTTTCTTATAATTATGAAAAGATTGAAATAAGTGAGATTATCTGATTTGTAAGCATCTATGATTTCTCTTACTTTGTGAGACTTTTTAATTATAAGTCTCTTCTTTTTCAATACTAATGATAGTGCTGTGAATAATTATAATCTGCTCAGGTCTTGCATCTTTGTCTTTATAAAATGTGAATCATTTATTAAGTTGTATAAGACTCATCTCTCTAGTTCTTTCAATGCATATATTCTCAGAGAATGTGATTTGAGTATTTTATATGACTTAAATCACCTAGATTGAAACTTCTCAGACCTCTTATTATGTATAAGAACTCATGTTCCTATCTTGAGACTCAATTTCTTAACTAGTGAGTCTCATATTCTTTTCAATTGACTTGCTCAGTTTAGAAGTAACTTATTAGCTTTTATACATGCATGGCTGATCTCTTGCAATCTTGATTTCACATTCACAACTGCTGTGTCTGTGACTATTGTATTTGCAACTATTGTTTCTGCTGTGTCTGTAACTGCTGTGTTCACAATCACTGTTCTCTCTCTCATCTTTTTCAAAGCATTCTCTGAGATGCGCGGATGCAATTCATACAACAGATAGAATGATGAATACTTGAAGACTGCATACTGTTGAATCTGTGTGACTAATAGCATCTCTTTAAGATATTCATTTCATAGTCTTGTAGACTTGCTCACTAGATATTGTATTAGCATGTTGCTCAAGATTTCATTCAAGTATTTCATCTTTCTATTTATTAGCAGGTGATATAATACTATTCTATAATATCTTATCTATAACTGATTCATGAAATGCCTTATTACTTCTTCTATGAGATTTATATGATTATCAGTTAGAATCTCATGTAATATTTCATAGTTGATATAGATCTCATTATGTAGAAACTTTGTCATTATCTTCTCTATTATCTCTGAAACTGCTTTTGTGACTGGCCAGTCAGTAGTGTAGTCAATAGCAGTGATTATTCAATGATTTTCATTTGATGTTTATAATAATATGTCTATGAGATTCATTATTATTATTATTATTATTATTCTTCAATTATAGATGTATGCAGTCAGAGACTATGCCATCTACCTGAGAACCTTTAGATCTCAGGGTTTTTCCTATATCTATAGAGTCAACTATTATACATTTATCAATTTCAGATATGCAAAATCAGAAAATTCCAGCTCAGAATACAAAAACTGTTTACAAATTGCAGTATTTCAACACCTTCTGATACTTTGAAACCATTTGAAAATATTGTGACAAAGGAAAAGAGAACATAGTCTTAAAGATAGACATATTAAGTAGATAGATAGAAAAGAACAGAAAGAAACAAGTACAGTAAAGAGAGACTATAACAAAACAAAATTATTAAAAGATAGTGTATAGCTGTTTTAACAGACTATATTTAATCAATTTCCACCTCTTCATATTCAGATACTTCTGAATGCAGCCATTTTCTTATAGCTACTTGAGTTTCTGAAAGAAAGTCTATTAAGTATTTAATTCCTGTCTCAGTTGAGAATAAGAACCTCATATTTAATTGATTTAAATCATACTTCTTCTTTAATCTGACTCTGAGACTATTGTATAATGCACAATGCATTACAATATGCTCAGGATTTTTATTCACATTGCAGAATGAGCACTCTGTTGAATCAAATCTATCATCAAATCTTTGTATATAGGATTTGAAATAACTATGTCCTAGTTTCAGCTGAATTATAGATGAGAATATTTTCTTTTTACATTTAATTGAACAAGATTTCCACTTTGGTTTTGTCTCAAATCTTGAATAATGTATGCTCTTCTTTTGTTTCTGCCAGCTTTCATTTCACTTGTTTAAACAAGATTCTTTTATCTTTCTCTTTATGAAAGATCAGAATACTGTTTTTTGAATAGATCTGCTTAATTCTGCACCCTTTTTTGCAGCTGAATCAGCCAATTCATTGCCATGAATATTCATATGAGCAGGAACTCAATGCAGATTAATTATCAGTTTTGATATTCTTCTCTCTTGAATTTTCAAAACAGAGTTTAAAATCAGTTCAAGATTCATTTGATCATTATGACTATGAGATTCATCTCTCATTATTTAAATAATTGTATTGTACATTTTATCTGATATTATACTTTCGTACATTCTAATCCTTTCTTAGATTCTTTTACAACCTGATAATTCAGACACTTGTAAGTATACATCTGAATGTCCTCAGTTATGCTTGATTAGTATACTCTTAATTCAAGTACACTGATGAGTTCAGAGCTTTCTAAGTGACTGAATTTCTTATATATATGAGTTATCAAGTCATGTCTAAATAAATATTTCAGATAGAAAGCTTCTACATATTCTAGATTATAATAAAGTATAACATTATTTTTTAATTTTCTTAGCTTGAAGTTCAGAAGCATTTCTTGTATCACTTTTATAAGATGCTTATTATCTGACACTTTACTATTCTTTAAGTAAGAGATTATTGTATTCACTTATTCTGATTTCTTATATTCTCTCAGTGTGTTTAATACAAACTTCTCTTATATTTGATTCATAGAACTCTCACTCATGAAATCAAGTCTGTGACTGATTGTATCAGATATCACAGTATTCAATCTCTTTCAGTATTTAATATAAATATTGTACACTTGAAACTCTGAGATTTAATATACTAAATATTTGAAAGATTTTATTGTTAATTATAGATAGATAAGGCTTTCATAATCTGTGATCACTGTTGTTATATATCTGTTGTTAATATATCTATCTCACAATACTAGTGCAGCATACATCATCTGTAGTGTATGCCGATCACGTATCATACATGTAAAAAGGTAAATCTTGTCTTATTCTTCAAGATGGAGATGGGCGGACGCCCCTATATATATATATATACATGCTTGTTTGTTTATTGTGATTGACTTTTATAGAAGGAAGAAGCAGAAGCCTCAGAAAGAAAGAGGTGAAAGTCTCAGAAAGAAAGAGACAGAAGTCTCAGAAAGAGATGAAAGCCTCAGAAAGAAAGAGACAGAAGTCTCAGAAAGAAGTGAAAGCTCTGAGAAGTAGTAAGAGTGAATGTCACAGTTTCTCTGTCTGAAAAGAAGCGGACATCTGAAAATAAGGTGACAGAAAAAAAAGCTAAACCTAATAAGAAATGAGTTAGGCATTTTTCAGATGCGGGTTAATATCCTCCTTGTGTGAAGAGCAGGTAAAGAAAGGAGTTGAAACAATGAGATAATAATAACACAATGATAAAGAATCTGAGACAACAAGATGATAGATATCATAGAGAATCTTTGTCTTTTACAGATATCATATGAATATAATGAGGTGATAATGAAACAATGACTATGAATGAGATAAAGAATCTGAGACAACAAGACAATAGAAGTCATAAGAATGAATAAGTAGATAAAAGATGAAGAACTGTAAAATTCAGAGTGAACACAGATGAAAGAGAACAAGAGAATTGAGAATGATAAAGAGACAGATCTTCTGTCAGAAGACTGAGAGTAATGTGAATGAATGATTTGTAAGTATATAATGTGATCAGTCATTCTCTTCTTCTTATTTTTCTTTTCTCTTTCTTATTATCTTTTCATCATCATTTTCATTATCATAAAAAATTTTCATTGAAATCTAGAGAACTTGCAGCAATGAGTTTAAGAAAGATATTCAGAATATCAGATGTGAAAGAAGTGATTGATCAGATCAATTACCTTGACAGAAATAGCATAAGAAGAGTATTGAAAAGGTTATTTCAGTCATTGAGTCAGAAAGAGTGTAATACTCTTCTTGAGACTGCAGAGAAGATAAATAAAATTGAAGAGTCAGAATCTCATTCTTTGATATCTAAGATAGTTTCAAGAAGTGATGAGGAAAAGACAGTTACACCTCATTATCAGTCAGCTAGGTTACATGATCAGAAAGCTGCAGATGAATCAGTGAAGAAATCTGAGAGTGAAAGCTCAAAAGATTCAGATGTGACTGTAGAGAGATTTAAACAGAAGTTTATTACATCATTCATTGAGCTAAAGAAGTCATGGTCTTCAAATACACATGAATTCTCTGACAGAGATACAGATGCAGAGGCAGTGACTGAAGATGAGATGAAGTCAGTAGCTCAGATAGAAGTGAAAGTGAAGTCAGCAGCAGAAGACATTTATGAGAAGAAAGATGAAGAGAAATCAGAGCTGACTGAAGCAGATAAACAGTGATGAAGGAATAGTTAAAAGTAATATAGTATATTAGAGAATAATGTGCTGAAGAGAATGAGATGAAAGAGAGTTATTGAAGATGATCAGATGCCTTGACTGTGAGACATGACTCATATGTACTGTCTGTATCATGATGACAAAATCAATCTATGCTTTCAGAAGAATGGGAAGCCAGCCCAGCTGAGTGTATCAATAATGCAGGATCCGACTGTAGAAGAACTTGTGAATGCCATATCAATTATTGAAAGACTTGCAGAATGCAGTGAGAAAATGCTATTTATAAACTGTGAATTTTTTGTCCTGCTCAGTCAGCAGTTGATCAAGCAGCTGAAATGAATACTCATGTAATGAAAGTTGCAGTAACAGATGACAAATGATGACTTGATTATTCTGAGAACAGTTGATTTCAAAGGTTCAGCTAATTGAAATGTCATTATTCTTCAAACTCGCAGAGAAGTAGCTCTCACATCTTGTCAGTCTTATACAGTGAGTCATAGATGATTTGAAGAGTGTGTGATTGCTTCTTCAGATGATAACTGAACTCAGCAGGGATATGATGCTTATATCAACTGTCAGTGAGATAACAAGAATGCCTGCTGTTCTTTAAATTATCATAGCTGATACAGATTTGAAAAAAACACTGACAATCTGCTGTTTAGAGAAAGTGTGCTGAGATTTGAGAAGACTGTGAGTACAGACAGAGATGACACTATTGAAGATAGTGATGTGAATGAAAACAATTTGACCTTTGTCTCTGCTGAGAAGATACTCACTTTCTTGAAATAAAAGATCTTGGATCTGGTCACTCTGAAACCTATTAAGCATATTCAAATTAGTGAGAAGAATATCAGTTCAACTCCTGTCAGAGTGATTGAGGACATCAAGATAAGCAGTGAGCAGCAGTCATTAATTTTATCTTTCAGAGATTAGACTATCAACTGTATGACACAGAATCTGAAGATGTTAAGACAGTCATCTAATCTTGATAAATATAATCTGAACACTGTGCAGGCTGCTCAGAAGAAGTTAGACAAGATCAGAGAATTTACTAATATAATCTCAGCTGTGAATGACATCATCAATAACAATCATTTCTTCAAGCTGTCTAGTAAGGCACACTTCAGTGATCTCATGAATGATGACCTGTTAGCAGACATTGCATTCTGAGATGCATGTCTCACTAAACAGAAGATGAAGCTGCAACATGAGCTTGAGAATGATTGATAAGAGACTTAAAGTAAATGTGATGAGTGAAAGATCTCTGATTTTACTTTTCTTTATTCTGTTTTCTTCTTTTTTCTTTTCCTTCTGCAGTCAGTAGTTAAAAATAGTGATAATGAATTTTCTTTTCTTTTCTTCTTTTCCTCTTTTTTCTTGTTATTTTTACTCATGATATTCTCTTTCTTGTCTGTCTCTCTTAGACTTGATATGATCACCCGCGAGGTCTCTTGATCATGAAGACTTTGACAAGATCTGAAGTATTCTCTGTGATCATGTCAAGAGGTTTCCAGGTCAGATCTTCATATTCTCTTCACTTGATCTGAAGATATGTTTTTCTCCTCTCTGTGCATTTGCTGATGATCTTTTCAATTTCAAATTGAGGCTGATTAGTCACAATGACTGACTCTGAGAATGGATATTCAAGGTCTGCAGGACGTAGAAGTGTTTTTTTCAAATGAATGACAGAAATGACAGAGTGCATGCATCACTTGAGAGAAAGTAGTAGATGAAAGACAACATCAGAGACTTTCACAACAACCTTAAACAGGCCAGTCTGCAGGGATGAGATCTTTGAAGATTCTTGAATAGTATATTCTTTTTCATTCTTGCAGGCCAGGTTAAGGAAGACAAAGTCACTCATCTTGATAACTGATTGAGTGTGAGAGTGGTTGAAAGATTCTGTCATTTTGATCTTTACAAGGGTATATAAATCTAGAATGTTCTGCTGTACAGCATCACAGACTGTAATGAATTCAGTCATATCTGTCAGAGCTTCTTTATCCCTCAGCAGCAGTCATCTTGGCTTGACTTCTGTGAGTAATTCAAATGAGGAGACTACTGCTGAATGAGCGGCTACTGAGTTCAGAGCTCTTTTCACCTGATTGAGTAGAATTCTCTAAGATGATTCATACTTATCTATGAGAAGTGCTTGTAAGATGATTTCAATAGTAAGATTGATTCACTCACTCTGACCATTTGAATAAGAATTATAGACAGTCATCATCCAGCTCTTGATTTCTATCTGTTGAAGAATGCTCTTTCAAAATTGCAATATGAATTTGAGATTTCTATCTGAGATAATGATCAGTGAGAGCTGCTAGCAGCAGACTACTTCTCTGTAGAACTCTTTCACTCATCACAGAGCATTTCATTTCTCTTACTCAGTGATTAGAATGATGACTTTCAAGAATTTGTCTGTGACTGTCAGTATTGTGTCACAGCTGTTGCTTATCAGCAATTCTGTAATGAAATTGATTGATAGAATCTCAAATAATTCTTTCAGAGATGAGATGAGATGTGATTTCCCTCACTGAAAGTGATTTAACAGCTTAGACAGTTGATAATTGAGACAATGTGAGATGCAATCAAGAATCCATTTATAAGTGTGAGATAAGAAGAAGAATCAGTGCATAATGTCTTCTGTTCAATGAAGATCTGAGTGTCTGACAGCATTATAACACATGCAGATGAGATCTTCTGCTAAGATCTGTATAATACAGAGACAGTTGTTGACAAAGAATAGAAGACTATCTTGAAGTGTGAATGAATGATATTTTCTCTCTTACATCACTTTACAATAGATCTTTCTCAAGGCTGAATTAGCTGATAGATTCTTACACAATTGATCTTTGATATCATTTGAGAGAGTGATGCCTATGTTGAATACAGCAGTAATGAACTCATTCTTGATTTTATTAACTTGCTGAGTGAGTGCTTAGTGTATCTTTTCTTAATCATCTTGAGAAATCTCTTCAGAATTGTCTGTGAGAGTGTGTAATTAAAAGAGAGTATCAACATTGTGATGTAAAGTGTCTTTACAATAGTGGATTTTCATGCATGAAATATACATGCTAAGAATCAGGGCTCAATTCATCAATTAATAGCTCTGATGATCTGTGACAGATGACTGAAGAGTGAATATGAGTGTAATGTGATCAGTCGTAATAATGAATTTACTGTTAAGATATTGAGAAAGCTTTTTCAGAGTCTATATCAATCTCAAGCGCTCTAATTCAGTCACTTAATATCATCTCTCTGTCAGGTTCAATTGTTGTGATAGAAATAGAATGAGTCTCTCAATCTCATCAGTGCTCATCTGATGCAGTGTGATCTCTATTCTGCACTGTTTACTAGAATTCATGTACATGATGAACAGTCACTTGAAGTCAGGGTATACTCTCATGAGAGCATCCATTAAGGCCTGTTTAACAGTATTGAAGAAAAGTTAAGCCTCTGTGAGTAGGGCTTGAAATTGCAGGAATACTTCAAACTCAATCAATTTAGTTCTTACTGTATACAATACTCTTTTCTGACCTGTTCAGGGGCTGTTATGCAGCATTCTGATTTTAAGTGTTTTCAGTGCTTCTATCTTATCTGTGTAGAAGTCTATGAAGTTGTGATAGTAGTTGAAGAGGTTAATAACTCTCTTCAGCTCTCTGAGAGTTATAGAGAAGGCCAGGTTTATAATAGTAGCTATCTTCTCCTTCTGAGTGAATATTCTCAGTCAGTTAATATAATGGCCCAGTAAACACACAGAGAGATAGATGAAATGATATTTAAATAAGAATATCATCACTTCAGATGCCTTGAGAGCAGTGAATACTACCTGCATGTGATGAAGATGATCATTTAGCAAACATGAGAAGATGATGATGTTATCAATATAGATTAAGATGAATCACTACAAGAATTGTGCCAGTATCTCTTTCATATGTTGCTGAAAGAATTTAGGTGAGATTGTCAATTTCATTATAGTAACTGTAAAGTGTTTGAGCCCTCAGTGTGATGTGATAAAGATGGTTTTAAAGTGATTGAAATCTTCTATAAGCTGTTGAAAGAAGCCTTGACAGATATTCATTGATGAGAACACTATGAAAGTGCTCAATGACTGCAGAATATTCTGCTGTGTCAGTAAAGAATATACATTTGAAAGTAATTGTAGATTGATCTTTCACAAGTTCACAATCACACACAGTTTCTCTTTATGTCAGATCATGAATGTGAGAAAAGTGATAGAGTTCTTGATCTCAAGAGAAACTCTCTCAATTCTCTCATTTTGAATAAGTGAGTTCAAGATTTGATCAGCTGCTTTTCAATCCCTCTGTAAGAGAGAGTATGATCACTGCTTCAGTCTGAAAAAATTATTTTCATTAATAAACTGTAGTGACATCTTCACATTATCTGAAAATAATCCCAGATTGAGATCAAAAAGTTTGTGATGTCAGTCAATGATCTTCTAAATTACTTTATAATCATCTGCTACTCAGTGATCTGATATCTGTACTTCAACTCACTCAGTGAGAGCATTCACTGTGAGAATCTGAATAGAATTGTCATGATCTTCTGTGTCTGTCAATAGAAATAATTTCACATGTGAGGTAGAAAACAGGGATAACTTCTCAATTGAATTATTATTGACAACATTGATGTCTGCAGAGCAGATGATGATTCTTTTTTACTTTTGTAACAGAGGAGAATTTCTACCTGCATGAATAGTGTCTCTGATGATCTTGATATTTATAGCATATTTCTTATGAAATACAATACACTTGTTATAAACATCAATGATGACTCTCACTAGTGATAATATATTATTTACTATAATCATATTGCATCTGAGATATCACATCAGATGGAATTCACTCTTCAGATGAAAAAGAGCCTCATCATTCATCTTTAGAGTGAGAGCTGTTGATATGAATAGATTCAATTTATTTATATTCAAATTAACTTCTTGAATATGCATACATCAGTCATGTGACAGAGCAGCTGACTGATATTGAAGAAAGAATAAGCTTACTATCACTGCATTAATAAGTAATATATCTGCATCTATATCAATGCAAACTGAGAGATTGTCTCAGAGAGTATCAATGAGAATGATAAGGAAGATGTAGAGTAAGTACTGCAGTCTGCTAACATGTTCTCAATCACTTGTGAGAACATCATACACTGTGATAGCATATATATCAGTGTTAAACATACTCAGATAATTATCTGAGAGAGTATTCATGAATAAGACAGGCCTCTCAGTGTCTGACTTATTATCTATTTTTTCAACTCATTATCAGAATCTAGACTGAGATCTAGTTATAATAGATCATTATTCTCTTCTCTATCACTCTCTTATTTAACTTGATTTACTAGATTCTCTTTTCTGAGACAGCAGTTGATGTAATGAGAGCCTCTGCATACATAGCACTCTATCACAGACACTGATGATTTGCTCTCTGCACGCCTAATCAGCAGTCTGCTCAGTTCAGAGATGCTTGTGAGAAGAGTCATTTCTACAGCAGGCACAGATGACTTAATAGTTTTCATATATAATCTGGTCAAGAGAGTCTGATAAGAGTGACAGTTATTATTTTGATCAAATCATCTGAAGTCTTATATATATTCAGTGAATTAAGTTCTTCAATCAGTTCAAGTGTATCAGACAGCTGACTCATTATCTCTAATCCTTCTTCAGAAGTCATTCAGATGCTTGATGAGAATAAGAGATGTGATCAGAGATAGATTTAACTTCAACTCTTCTCATAGAAGTCTCTTCATCATCACAGAGTTGAAGATTAAGACAGCTTGCAGTAAGTTAATCTTTCATAAGATATACAGTGTCAATGACAGCTTATCTGACTTCTTAAAGAAGAAACACAGTTCTTGAGCTTTCACTCAGACTTCTCTCTCAGATAGCTGGAATTCTCACCTCAGCTCACTGATTGTGATGAGAAGAAAAGTACTTATATTCTTTCTCATTTCAGTAGACAGACTATTGTGTCATTCTAATGTCTATCTCTTTAAATATAATAGAAAGACTCAGAGTACTGCATTCTCTTTCTTCTATATAGTAATAAACTCTAGATAACTGATGAATATTATTACATCTGCTTCTGCTGAATTGAACAGTATAATATTACTCACTCTCAGTCATGTCAGATATTCTCATTCATCACCTTCAGTGTAGCAGACTGCATCATCAATTCATCATGAGAATGAATGAGATCTATTATCTAGCAGAAAGTCATCATAATTATGAGTGAGACAGGTCTTCTTCTTCAAGAGTACTGCAGACACTTGCTCTCTGCAGACTTGATTCTCTTCTATGTTATAGATAAAGTGTGAAATGTCTGTCTCTTATGTGAAATTGAATCTATTTCTTATCATATTTAAGTGATGAGTTCTGCTTCTGAACACATCTCATTCAGCATCACACAGCTCTCTTGAGGTTGCAGATGTTCACAGGGCCCTAGAAAGTGATTTGAAGCCTTCATCAAATAAGGCATTCAGTCATCAGAAGAATTCAGTGAGAAAATCATTATCTTTAACTTAAGTCAGTTGTTTCTGCTGCTGTTGATTTTCACACTGCTGCTCTTATCTCTGAGTGATGAGCACTGCTTTCTTCATATGAAAGTTGTTTCATATCTCTGTCAGTCAGCTTCTTCTATCTGCTAAACACTGAAGATTGTTCTGAAGCTTGTTAATATACTTATTAACAAGAGTGATACACTTATTCAGCTAATTCTGCTGCTGATTGAGCTGATACTCACACTTATCTAGCTTGCTTTCTCACTGAGCCAGCTGAGACTTCAGTTACTTCAACTTCTTAATTGTATCTAATACAGTGACTTCATTGAGAGAGACATGACTCTGACTATTAAACTCAACATAGCTTGAAGCTATTGATTCTCTTTCTTTCATATGCTTTGTGACCTCTGTACAGAAAGTCTGTAGTCAAGAATTACTGACATTCTTTCATTTCATGACAGAAACTGAGTTAAGAATTATCTTAACATTGTTGTAATGCCTGACAGACACTCTTATAAGAATGTCCTCTGTCTTAACACAGTCATATAATGTGACTTGATTCTTGACACTATTATATCATTTATTTGCATTCTGTCAGACCTCTGCAATCATGATAGTATGTTTCTTCACTGTCATCTGTGAGTAGGCGCGCTCAGTGTCAGATCTCTGAACAGGTTTATGAGAAGCTCACTTCTCAGCAGACTCATTCAGCTCAGCAGAGCAGAGCAGCTGACAGAAGCTGCTTCTAGTGAGTCATCTGTCCTGCTTCATTGTAATGTGTAACAGACATGTATAGAGTGAGTCTACTACAACTGAACTGATTATCAGCTGCAGTGATGAAAAAGATAGAGTAGTCAATCAGATCAATTATCAGTTGACTGAACTTCATTATCTACAACTCAGATTAATCATCAGTATTACATCTTCTTAAAGATGAAAAGAATGTAGAGAAATTAATCAGATTAATTACTAGTTAACTGAACTTCATTATTCACAATTCAGATCAATTATCAGTGTTGTATCTTTTAAAGACAGAGCAGAATCTAAGAGAATCAAGAATCTTGTTCTTAATGAGATATACTATCAAATTGCAGCATACATTATTTGTAGTGTATGCTAATCACATATCATACATGTAAAAAGGTAAATCTTGTCTTATTCTTCAAGATGGAGATGAGCGGACGCCTCTATATATATATATATACATGCTTGTTTGTTTATTGTGATTGACTTTTACAGAAGGAAGGAGCAGAAGCCTCAGAAAGAAAGAGGCGGAAGCCTCAGAAAGAAAGAGGCAGAAGCCTCAGAAAGAGGTGAAAGCCTCAGAAAGAAAGAGGTGAAAGCCTCAGAAAGAGGTGGAAGCTCTGAGAAGTAGCAAGAGTGAATGCCACAACTAGTATATACTTGATTGCTAGTAATTTCTTTTCATACACTGAGTAATTGAGCTCAGCATCTGATAGTTTTCTATCATTATATGTTACTGAGTGCAGCTTGTCATTCTTACTCATCTGCAGAAGAGTGTCTTTAATGGCTTATTCAGATACATCTATCTTAATATAGAAATATTTATCACAATCTGATTAAATAAGCACTGAAAATGTTATCATGTATTTTCTCAGTGTGAGAAAGGCCTCTTCACACATGATATTTCAGATAATTGAATAAAACTTCTTCTTATGCAGATTTGCATCTGTTTCTCTTAAGAGATCTGAGAGTGATGCGGATATTTATATAAAATCCTTAATAAATCTGCAGTAATTTGTAGACTGACTGTGTGACTGTGTCTAGAATCAGAACTAGAATATTTAATAATCTTATTATCAATTTAACTGATCTCATTACACTGTTTTAACATTAGATAGTAGTCTCATACTGTCTCAGTAAGACTTACTGTCTACTTTTATCACATTTTTCAAATGAGATCATGATTTTCACTTCTTAATTGAAATTATTTTTATTGCTTTAAATGACTTTAAATCTTATTTAAGTGTTATCAAAAAGTGTTACTTTTTAAAAAATTAAAAATAGTCTAAAGAAAACCTTAAAATGTCTAAAAATAGTAACTTTATACTAAGAATGAGACTAAATGAGATCAAATGAAATCACTTTCTTATTTTTTCTAAGTCATAGTTTCATTTTGAGATCTGATATATAGTTACTTTGCATGTTTTTTTAATGATTAGTCTCAGCGGGATTCACATCAAGAAATGTATAGAACCTGATCAAATGAAATCAAACATGAAATTCATAGTCTCAGCAGTCAGTCTAGTAATATAAGACTAACTCAAGAAACTGTTGTACATGATGTATATTTCTCAGCTGCAGTCAATTCACTATAACATTCAATTTCTTCAGAATGAGATGTATACACTTATCACTCACTACATATTCTATAAACTCTAACTCTTCTATTTCAAACACATACTTTGTTAATTTAATATAGAGCTTATACTCTGTCAGAGTTGTAAGTACTTTATCAAGATACTTCAGATGTTCATTATATAAGTTTAAGAAGACTAGAATATTATTCAGATATATAAGATATAAGATTTCATTCTATTTATAAAGAATTATATTCATCATTATTTAAAAGATGACAGACACATTTATCAGACTGAATAATATTATCAGAAAGTTGAACTTTTCTTATTATATATTAAATGTAGTTTGTGATACTGACAGTTTGTCTATACAGATCTGTCAATATTCTGAGAGAAGATTAATCTTCAATAGATATCAGATGTTTTCAACTGTATTCAACTGTTGTTGAATCTATGATAATAAGTATCTGTTCTTAATTATAAGCTTATTAAGTGCTTGATAATTAATACACATTCATCACTCTTCATCTGCCTTTTTCATTAATAGAACTGAGAAGTCTCATGTGCTTAATAAGAGTTGTATGAGATCATGTTCTAGAAGATCTGTGATCTGATACTTCTGTTCTTTGAGATGTGTTTGTAACAGAAGATAGACCAAGTTCGGACCCAGAAGATCCATTAAACTGGAGCCGGAAATGGAAATTCACGCAAATCGCAATGGTTTACATACATACCCTCAGGGTCGGCATTCCGACAACGGTGCAGTACAGCGTGCTCACTGATATCACATGGTATACCGGAATTTCGACGGGAGAGCTTCTCACTGGAACTGGACTTATGTTCCTGTTTTTAGGATGGGGGTGTTTGATCTGGCAACCACTGGCCCTCACTTATGGCCGCTGAGGTGTTTACATCTTGTCTTCCTTACTCCGTGTACCGGTTATGGCTTGGACTGCATACTCAAACGCCGGAAGCGCATGGTATTCCCATTGAATCCTTCTGGGAGCTTTCGCTGCACCTCTAGAGTCCCTGTCAGAGATATCTGTTCCAGATATTTTTTGCCCATGAGCGTGGCCAGTGGCTGTCGACATATGTCCTATTCCTATGTGGTTCTAATTTCATCGCGCGACTAAAATTCCACTACCACTCAATCTGGTGACGAGAAGGCTGGTGCCGATTTCAATATTTTAAAATGATGTATTGTCCTCTCTAATTATGTTACATTTCCCGTGCATGGGCTGGTCTGGGTTCCTTTATGGTATTAGCCTCTCGTGGTATAATGTGATGAATGGTATTGCATCTCCCATTCTTTCCTGAATGGGATTGAACAGCCAGCTCTGCAGCCTGTATGGCTCTGATTAATCTGATAATGGTGATAGGGGTGATACAGGGTGGAAGGGGGTGGTGGTGGTAGAGGGGGTAGAGGGGGCTGCGCAAGCAGCAAAGCGAGCGTAAGCGAGCGTTTGATGCTTGTAATTAATTAGAATGAAAGATATTTCTGCTTGCAGACAAACTTTCACATAAATTTCTATTGATGAGTGGCTATAAGTGGAATTAAGTAATTACAAGCAGAAAAACATGAAAAAAGCCATTTGACTCAAATGTCACTATAGACTGCCGTAATCAGCCTTTGGGAAGCTTTGACAGGTGTTAGCGTTAGCTGCGGGCGATTGGCCCTGGACGGTTAACTAGTTCCCGTTAGCTAGCTTGGTGAGGGCCCAAGAGCACCAAGTGGCTCGATTCCCTGCTTGATTTCTCATATCGGCATCGAAGGGAGATATTGAGAGCAGGGGTGTGTACAAGGATTACATAGCCCTGCAATGGCTCTCTCCAGTCAGAAAGAAGAATGTACTCCGTATTTGCTAGGTTTATCAACATTTCCGATCAGGAAGCAAATTAACACATTCTTCGTCATACCTATCAATACGCGTAGTAAAGACGCGCAGTAAAGTGCTCTGAAAGTATTATGCCAATTTCTTTTTGTTTTTTTTTTTCTTTTTTGTTTTGCAACCTAGTAACTACAGTTAGCTGTCCAATTAGAGATATTAATAAATCCTTTATGAACCTACGCTAGTATGACCATCAATTTTCGGTTCTTCATTCTTATTATCCTCGTACGCGCTATTCTTTATTATTCTCTATCAAGATGGACCTCCTTGCTGCTCTTGAACCTCCAATTGCACCTTCTCAAGAGCCAGAGCCTCCTGCTACACCTCCAAAGCAATTAACTCACAATCAATGTTGAGATATTCTTCTTCTTCACATTCTTGGTTGGACTTGTGATAAGATCTCCAATCACCTTGAGATTACCTATTGAGTGGTTCAATACCGATGCAATCTGAGTACGACTACTTCTCAGAAGCATACTAGCTACCCTATTCTCTGGATTTGGACCCAATTGAGACTATGGAATCATATGAAGCTGTGGATGCAGGGGAACCATCAGGATGAGGAGAATCTGTCTTATGATGCACTTCAAGGAGTGGTTAGAGCTGCCTGGGATGCTATAAGAGAGGAGCAGCTATGAGAGCTTTAGCAGAGATGCCAGCTCTCTATCAGGAAGTTATACAGGCAGGTGGTGGCTATACTAGATATTAATATGATTATCGATTCCTCTACAGATTATTCTATAATAATGAGAACTCGCTCAACGCGAGAATGCCATGTATACCCCCCAGAATGATGGTTAGAATGCCACTAAAATGTTAGGGTGGAACTACCGAAAATACCGGGGCACACCGTAGTATTGATACTCGGGCGCCCTACTAATTTTGCAGATACCGTCCAATGCCCAGCAGAGCCTGGGGCTTCGGTCGTGAATAACGGGACGGCTTCTAAAAGATTTGCACAGTAGAAGTAACCGCTGGTTAGGAGAGCTGGGGGGGTGGTGATACTTTTTTCCTTGTAGAGAGACGAAGATACCACCACGAGACCTTCAGGCCGACTGGGAACTTTACAATCATCTCGCATTGTCAGCCTAGCTATTTACCTTGTCATTTTTGAAAATAGGCAACGAAGGGGCACTGCTGTACGCAGTGTAGTTCGTGTGCATGCGAGATGTTGTATAGTAGAGGGCCAATGGTGATGGAGACGGAGAGGAGTTATCCAGTGGCCAGTGCCCAGACACAGCAAGCATGCCATGGAAGTTTGGCAAGTTAACGAAGAACGAAACAAGGACGAGAATATAATAATGCATAGAGTGCTGTACTTCGGCAAAACCATACCTTGTCCTGGGCGAAATATATGGTATTTCTAGCCCACCAGAATACGACTTTGTCTATTGCTGCGAAGACGGTCATCTGAATGAATTTTTAATTGCTGGCACTTGCTGTGATCAGAGATATCCATATGGATATCCCTCACTGTGTGTTTCTGCCGAGGAAGCATCATTCCTTGTTGTTTGTGCGGAGAAACCAAGCAGGCATCGATTTATGTATGGTTTTCGTATCGAGTGCTTCAGGGGTAGCATTCATGGTTGTTTCTCGTAGTTTTAATAATATCGATAGCACGCCTCCTGGAGAGAAAGGTGTTTACAAGTGCAAGGTAAAACCCTGCCAGTCGGGATTTATTGAGAGGGTTTGCAACCATAAAGTGTGCGAATATGGCTAGAAGAATCAAGACCCTAGCTCGTCAATATCGTCACAGATTCCCCGAGTGATGAAGTTGGGTCGGCGATGTGAATAACAAGAAGCTAAGTGCAGTAGTGGCGAATGGGATTGCATTGGTTGTTGGTTCTAGGATGTTAACACTCCTCAGTCTCCTCACCCTCCAACGTCCAGCATTACTGGTGGTCAGAAAATCATCCGTGATTCAGGCGATGGCGTCCGCACCCTGCAATGCACAACCAACTTCCAAGACGCTTGCGCACAGTTTCACACTGCTGCCTGCCGTGATTCGACAGGTCGGAAAAGACCTCCGCCAGTGACCAAAAGACACCTTTGCCAATCACCTCTCCAGACTCAAGTCCTCCATCTCCAGATCACCTACAAGGTGTCAGCAATCGGATCCAGATTTTGTCGATTTTTATCGATTTTATCCGCAATTCGGACACTATACAAATCACCGACAAGGGCTGCCCCGGCTCCGTGGGCGGGGGTGGAAAAGTTTGATATGGTGTGTCGGTGGTTCGTCTCGATGAGGGGCAGCCAGGTAGCTCTCCTCATCAATGTCAATGGAGTTTTTTCTTTCACGGACCAAGTTGCCGGAGCACGTATCACGGCCAACAGCGGCCGCAGCAAGCCACAATTGGCGGTAAGGCCTGTCGTGGGGAACGGATACTGCTAGATCGGCGTCACTCCCTGCAAGCACTCGAATCAGAGCTTTCAACCAAAATTTCCACGTCGATGACGATTTATGGGCTGCCTTTCCATTCGACGGATTAGAGAACCTCTTCATCTTGATTCCAGTATTCGACTTGCAGCAGCAGACGCATACAGGAGGCGCAAACAGTCCTTTTTTGGCGCATCTTGTATGACAACATTTGTACTTTTGTACTCCTTCGGGTTTCCTAGATGCTTACCTTCTCCCACCTCACAAAGGAGCTCCGATCCGACTCAACATCGGTCGTTTTAATTTGCCCTTTTCCTATCACCAATCGTTTGAACAATCGCGAGGCGTCTATAGTCACGGCAGCTTCTATCAAATATCTCTGTGGAGATGCTCCCCCTGCATATTCTGCCTTACTCTTGCAAAATATCTTGAAATTCCTACCTGCTTGCGGCATCCAACTGCCTCAGTAGAGGACGAAAAGGTACCTGGTATAGCAGGCCGTCTTTGTTTACAAATCGCCGGTCGTTTGCTGCTCTACAAGACTCGGTTGATGTGAATTCCTTTGGGCCCGGTCCGCATGAGATCTTTCGTACTGCATTTTACGATCTTGATTGAGCACATTACACAACCATGCTGCTGTCTTCCCTGATCTTGTCGTTTCTCTTCGCTCGCAAAGGTGCCGGATTGCAAGTCACAGCGGGTTCTCCGTGTGAATCGACCTGTCGCAGAACATCCACCAACACGACCGATGCTGTAGTTTGTCTAGATCATCAGTACAACTCCCCGCCAGGAACTTATTTCGAAGAGTGCGTGAAATGCGAATTACGAAGCACCTACTTCCGTTCACGTTCCTTCGAAACCCACGACACGGACGTTAATTGGGGACTATGTATGTCCAAGTCACCCTTATTAACGACTGGAATACGGTTATCGCTGACATATTTACAGACAACCTTCGCTATGCGCTCTCAACTTGTGTGTTTGATTTTCCAGTGGAAAAGCCAGATTCCATGTCAAGCCCGTGCCGGGTGACATGCGACCAACTTGGGGAAGCCATAAAGTTCCATCTGCTTTCCCCAACACCGGAGAACATGCTTGATTTCTGCGGAATGGGGGTCTTCGACGACGGCGTCATCACCCAATGTGCTGCCTGTTACAACTTGACAGAGACCGAGAAATATTTGGGCAACTGTATGGCTCCATCCCACTTTATGAATATCTAAAATAGATGACATTTTACTGACAAGTAGGAAACAACCAGTTGTTGAAGCGATCCGAGAAGGTTGCCACGCAAACCTACCCAACGGCGTACCTTTTATGCTCGATCCGAACAAGGTCTTCGATACAGAGCCTCTCCCAGCAAACACTAACATCCCCCAGATCACGGACGGAGAAACAGACAAAAAGAACATGAAAAACCTCATCCTCGTCATTGTCTTACCTATCATAGGATTCCTCCTATTACTGGCATGCGCATGCGGCGCGTGTATATTCTGTGTCCACCGTCGCCGACGCAAATCAAAGAGAAAGAACCAGCCGACATATCTGCATGAGCGATGGAACGACACGGGCATAATGTCACCAGTGCGCAATCATCTGCGAAGAAGCTGGGGAGAGCCATCCCCTTACCAACCCGAATTCACTGGACCGTGCGCAGATTATCCTAACCAAGCCTATCCAAACACCGCTGCCGAGGCCCCGCAAGACGTCAAGTATCCGCCAGAGACATATGCGATGGAATCGACCTCGCAGCAATATGCAACAGTGTCACCCAAGTCAGACATGTCGACGCCCAAATTATTCCCGCCCCCTCCGCCTCGCAAATCAATGAATGACTGATTTGCCATCAAGGAAGAAAGAAGAAAAAGAAAAAGAATATAAAACTGATGAAGAATAACTATCTTGTTTTTCATCCGGCGTTTTTGGTATAGTGGGTGTAAGAAGGGCGAGCATTGTTCCCCTCCCGATCGCCCAGGCAGGCGAATTGCTTTCCTGATGGCTCTCCAAATATCCTCCCAATCATTGCCTGGACGTTTCCAGCTTTATTTTCCCTTGGTGTTATCGGTCTTTCTAGTCTTACTGTTTATGTGCCCCCAATGCTGCTTATCTCGAACAGACATCTGCTGGCTGGCTCTTCTTTTTTCATATCAATGGAAGGTCCTCCGTCTAGTCTGAGTTTTATACCCCAACTGCTGTATACTTGCAGTCTATTTTATCTTTATTTCCCTACAATTGCGAACCGTTTTTATATTCATATTCTCCTATCCGCCTCCGTAATCCGACCCTTTTATCCCTTTCGTATCTATCTTCGCAATCTGTTGATTCAGCCTTACGGATCGAATCCCAGCCAGCTCTCGATTCTTACACTATATCCGTTAGGGGCAACTACAGCTTGTGCCTAAGTACATATGGATGTTGTGTAGCTGGTTCGACTATCACACAATAACATATGATGTTATGGAATTCAAATATGTTTTATCTGCTATTTGCAATATGTATTTACAAATGATGCCAGGTTTTCTGACCTTCTTCTCTCTTCACAAACTCGCTTATTACCGAATCAGAAATGATCTAGAGGATGGAATGCCACGGAAATAGATCCTAAGCTACGTAGAGTGAGCAAATTAATTTCTATCTACAGGGACATTCCTCTGGATTCAAGGGTAGATATGGATAATTCAGGCGGAGGTCGGGCGCTTATTTCGACTTACCGCACGCACACTAGCTTAATCTTCAGGCGCGCGTTGATCAAGCAATTCAGCCTCCTCATATCATATTTGTATACTCCGTACAACGTCTGGTTTGAAGAAATAAAAGGAAACGTGTTCAATGCAAAACCTGGGGTTACACTAAAAAAATATCGGCAGAGATAAATATGACCTTTTGGGGAGTTGTGGTGAGCGCGGGATATTTTTATCATTCGGTAACCATGGGGAGCTTTGGGCCGAGTAGTGATCTAACTACCACTTAACCAACGAGTTATTTGAACACCCACGTATAACACACACCGTCCTCGCAATCTATATCGCTCCTGGCAACTCCCTCAATATACAGCCGCAAGCTAAATCAACCTCCAAGAAAAGAGCAGTGGCCCATCTCAAATCATGGCATCCATATCTCCCGAGCAACTAAAAGTGCTCGAACAAACCCGCCAGCGCCTAGTCCAACTAACCCAGTCCCTCGCCTCGCTCATCAACAATATAAACCAAAGCGATCCCCTCCCCTCCTGGTAAGCATGTGCCGGCCAGTCATAATTATTTGTTTGGAAGAACTAACAACATCCCCCCTCCACCATTCACCGTCCAGGTCCTCCCTCCAATCGCAGGCTACTATCATCTCCAACAACCTCCTCAACGTCTCTGAACAACTCACAGACCACCATGACCTGCTCTCATCCCTCGTCGCATACCCTACCCCTCAATTCCCCGGCCGGACCGAAGCTTCCATGCTTTCACAACTGCTACGCACCAAACTCGAGCCACGCGTGGAGGATTGGGTCTCCCAGGGCCTCTCCATGGGCAACGCGGACGCGACTAGACGTAGGACGGGATTGACAGCGGAGCAGCTGGCAGAGCTGTGGCAATGGGCCCCTGTCGAGGCGAATATGGAGGCTAGAAAGCGGAATTGGGGCGGTGATTATACGCGGGAGGAAAAAGAGATGGGCGTTAAGAATGTTGTGACGGGGTTGAAGAGGAGGCTGAATGAGGAGGATAGTGGGAGTGAGAGTGGGAGTGGAGACGAGGACGAGGGGGGGAAAGGAGAGGAGGGAGGAGGGGATGGGAGTGGGATGCAGGTTGTGGGAGTGCATAGGAGAGCTGGGGCCGGCGGAGTGCAGTTTGATATTTCGAGCGGGGGAGGACAGGTACCGCCTGTACCGATGTCGCCTGCACTACCGTTGCAAGATGTGTTTAGGTTCATGATGACAGGGGCGTCCCCGAAGGGTCGTTGATATGGTGGTTGCGAAAGAGAAGTAAATATGCAGTTTTCTGGATATTTCCGTTCTGGCGGAATCATGGACATGGGAATTTGGTTTATTAAACAACGCACTTCAGATATCGGAAATGTACAGTGCCTGCTACATGCAGAGGCGCTCGTCATCTACGACTTTATTGGACGCATTTACGGCATTATATATACTACGGATAAATTCGCTTGGTAAAACATAGCTCTCTAGAGCCGCTTATTTAACTTGTTTGGTATTAATTTGATATTAAGATTATAGAAAATTATCATGCCATTCTCAAAGGAATGAGATGGATATGGTGTGAGAAAATTATATCCCGAATAGAAAGAAGCGTAGCAAAGTTCAGATACGAAAAAAAAAGTAAGAATTTCGTAACAAATTTATCCCCTCCGCCTCGTTGTTGGGCCCTTTCCAGAAGGACTTGGAGAGACGCTAGAACTTTTTGCAACAGGGATCTGCACTTCTGCCATGCGCTGAGGCTTCCTGGCCTGCAGTTTCTTCGCTGGAGTGGTAGCTGGCACGTTCCAGTAGTACAGCATCTGTAAGCCCAGGATCAGATTAAGGGAAAATCCAGCCACGAAGCCGTAGAGGAGCAGCTTATCGTCCACTTCCTGCATTGTGGTGAAGATGCGCATCATGGAGCCCAGGAGATAATTGAATACCTAAACCAGAAAAATATATTAATGATGACATAATTCTGAAAGGATGGTAAATATGAACATAGGACGAAAAGAGATCCATGAAAAGTAAGAAGCGGGGTATGGTTCACATACCGCGAAGGCGCTCAATTGCCCTGTGCCCCCTTCGTTCCACACAGTCAGAATCTGCGGCACTTTGCTCGCGATCCCCATTACTCCCGCGCCAGCCTGCAAATAACCCATTGTCGCCTGGTCTACAAGTGCGTCGCCACTGAACAAAAGCGCATAGACAATGCCTGCAACGGCCGCAACAAAAGCGCCAGCAGCCGGTGCTTGGCCAGAAAACACAAGCACTAGGACGCCAACTACAACATCCTGTGCGGCAATGAGCGCAGACTCGCCATACGTGCTGAAAGGGAATTTCTGACGCGCATTGTATGCGAGGGTAATCAGAAGGCTCGTAGTCTCGAGCGCGTAGGAGGTAAACGATACACCCGCGGAGGAGCGGGAGGAGAGAAGCTTCAAGATCTGTGGAACCTTGACGATTGCACTGAAAGTGACGATTGCCACGCCAAGGACCTTGGAAATTGCTAGAGGAAAACAGGCTGGGTCTGCCGTCACGTCGAGGGAGCGGATGAGGGTTGAATGGCAATGTTCGCCGAGAAGAGAGAATAGAGCATCATCGACAGGTTCGGGAAGGGCGGAGGTGATGGATTTAAGGTACGGATGTAACGGGTTGAGTAGGTTGGTCTGGAGAATTTGCTGGAAAGACTCCATGGCTGTCCCTCGAGTTGGTTGATGGTCGGAAAGCCGTTCTTATTGTTGGAGTTGATGTTTTCGTTGCAGCATCGATTGTTTATGTCCGGGATTTGGCCCAGAGATGCAACAATAATCAAAGGTTGTGGTTAATTACCAGATGTGGTTAGACCACAACCGAATGGATTTCTAATTCCCAACTATATGCCGAGAAGGGATAGTTAAAACTATGGCCAGTAGCTAAAAATGCTTAGGAGCATATATTTTATATTTTTAATCTAATCTTATTGCCCATTTTATTCTCGCGCATCTACGTGATGCTATATCTACTCCGTTATCTACTCCGTCGAACGGGGACAAGCAATCAAGTCACGTGGATGCTGACTCATCTCACTTGCTGGCTGGATCCAGACCCCAAACCAAGAATTCTACAACAACGACTGCACTTCGGATAGAACATTTCCCCATGCGGATGGCGAGGTCTCTGTTGGCTCAGGCTGCCGATTAAGTGCAACCTGAATTGGTTATGGCCTCACCGCTGTTATTTGTCCGCCCCGGCGTGGCTTCGGACGCTGCCGCGCTCTGCTCCCGTTGCTTCGCTCACCTAGCGCTGCCGCCAGGGGGGTGCTGGCGGAGAGGCTTCACTGCGAGTAGGATCTTGCAAAATGGGGAATCTCGAGCTTCGACAATGCCCAGGATGCTGAGGAAAGCGTACTTCTCTTCCAGTAGGCTACCGGTTAGCCCTTTGTCGAGAAATGACGCGGTCGAGTGGTTGGGAAGAGGGTCACCGCATGTTAATCGATCGCCTCTCTTCCACTCCGCAGCACCTTCAGTTGATGCTCAAACGCCAACTGTGTCCCCAGTTGGGACAAGTAGCAATCAATCACCTCCTGGTTCCCCCGAGGAACTTCCCCATCGAAGACGACAACGCTTAAAGGCTGAACGTGAAGCTAAAACCCCTAACTACGATATCCGCCCCGATGCCTCCTCCCGCCTGTCTACTTTATCATCCTCTCTCCCAAAAACTTCGCTGCGGGGGACAATAGCAGCGTTCCTCGCTCTTACGAAACCAAACTTATCCTTCCTCGTTGTTCTTACCGCTACCACTGCCTACGGCCTCTACCCTATCCCAACACTCCTTGCCCTAGACCCTTCAGTAACACCTCTCCCGGCACTCTCCACTACTACTCTGACCTTATTCTACCTTACAATCGGTACATTCCTCGCATCCGGAAGCGCCAACACCCTAAACATGTTCTTTGAGCCACAGCATGACGCACGCATGTCACGTACTCGAAACAGACCACTCGTTCGCAAACTCCTCTCCCCAAGAGCAGCCCTTATATTTGCCGCCGTCACCGGCACTGTGGGTGTCACTGCCCTATACATGGGCACAAATCCAACTGTCGCCGCACTAGGTGCTTTCAATCTTTTCCTATATGCATTTGTCTACACTCCCCTCAAACGTATTTCCGTTATAAACACCTGGGTTGGAGCAATCGTTGGTGGAATCCCGCCTCTAATGGGCTGGGCCGCTGCTGCCGGCCAAACTGCTACAACGGGACATGACGGCTGGTGCGATCTCCTCTTCGGCCCTGACAGCCCTGGAGGCTGGCTCATGGCCGCAATATTATTCGCATGGCAGTTCCCGCACTTCAATTCCCTCTCCCACACTATCCGTGAGGAATACAGAAATGCGGGCTATAAAATGCTCGCGTGGACGAATCCCGCGCGCAATGGCCGTGTCGCACTTCGTTACTCGATCCTCATGTTCCCACTTTGCGCTGGACTGTGGTGGTTCGGAGTGGTTGATAAAGGCTTCCTAGTCGGGGGAACACTAGTCAATTGCTGGCTAGCCAAGGAAGCGTATCGATTCTGGAAACTTCAGGGAGCAGCTGGTAGCTCCAGAGGATTGTTCTGGGCTAGTGTGTGGCATCTGCCACTCCTGATGGTGGGGACGCTGGTCACTAAGAAGGGCATTTGGGATGGGGTCTGGAGTCATATTTTTGGCGAGGAGGTGGAAGATGAGGAGGACGAGGAGTATGAAGAGGACGAGATGAAAGAGGAGACTCGCAAAGTACTCGCAGACGCACTCTTGCCCACAGAACCCATAGCGTGACGAGGTTTATTTTCTCAGTCTAGGGAAATCTGGGAAAGACACCAATCTTCACTTATGTATTATGTATATACCATACCATCTTGACTTTGCTGCGCATTTCTTTAATCGGCAGGGGATTTCTCTACTGGGTTTAACTGAAAGGAGGCTTCCAAATGTGTAGATATATTAAAGAGCCGCTCACTTGATCTACAGGCGAAGCCGTCACACTATTTCCTCTCAATTGAGTGCAGGATTCTGTACAGAGCATAGTTATGCCGGCCCACCCCACCCACTATCCCCAATAGTGAGTGATAAATCATGATTCACCACTACACAAAATATCACTACTGTGCTAATTATCATGTTTTTCTTCATCATCTATCTCGAGATAATTGAAAGATCTCAAGAGATTGAAGAATATATAGTAGCTGTTATAGAATTCAATGAAAAATTCTCTGTAATATCAGATATTAACTAAGACTGTAGACTGTGCAGACTGATCACTTTCACTCATGCATGCTCACCAAGGTTGCAGTCATCAATCAGTAATTGCAAGCTCTTTATAAAAGGTCATGTAGCAGCTAGCTTTTCATAACATAAATCAACTACTTTAAGAATACACCTTCATCAAATTTATTATATTATATTCAAATAATACTGATATTTTCTGTAAAGAGTTGTTTTAAATTGATTAATTGCGGTAATAATTATGTTGTGGTGAGGCACACCAACTACAGGAGTAGTGGGGCTAGCGAAGGCACGTGCCGCTCCATCTGCAAAACTTTACTCAGGATGAGTAATAAGTGGTGTGATTTTAGCTTTCATTCACCTCGCTTCGCTTATCCTAACCGCAAACCAATTCTCACAGTGTTCGACCGCTGACCAAAGGTAATTTACGCCAATAACTTTAGCACATCCTCGGATTTCGCACACCAGCTGTTGCACTATGGGTGGCACATTGGTGGTTGAGATGATGTATCTGTCTCTCAGGTCCCCTCATTTGCACCTTTCCTCACTCTATCTTCGATAGACGCTGTACAGGCATGTTTTAGGAGTATCTTTGGGCGACGGATCGAGAGAATAAGGGGAGTGAAAGAGAAACAATGACCGGTGCAATTATCTTACCCTCGTTACTTTAGCGCAACGGGCATTCCACCTGTTCAGCAGTATCTAGGACCAACGGAATACTACTGCATGTTAAACTTGGCATGAATCTCAGATCTCACGCGCTTCATGTTCGAGCCTCCGAAAATGTGGAACTACTTCTGTTCTCACTTCGTTCCCTGAGAGAGCCGGAATCACGACAAAATCGACGGGGAGTGGAACTCAAAGATAGCAAGAAATAATGTAACAGCCCAACCCCCGCGATTGCTAAGCGTCGGACATTGAGTTAAAAATGTTGATGATGCCATGCCTAGATCCGAGGAAACGAAGACAAGGCTGGAATTCAAAAGCAAGAAAAACCAAAGTAGTTTTCCTCTGTCTTCGCCTTGCGTGCAGGCTGGCTGACTTGTTTGCATTTTCTTGGCACATCTCCCCCCAGATGTCTGTGCGTTTGTCTTACTTCGAGCCATTCCTGCCGTTCTTCTTTCCCCAATTTGAAGGATTCCCCAGCGATTCTCTTCCTCAAAAGTCCCCTCTTGATACGTTCCTCCTTCTGAATACCCCGTAGGTTGAGAAATTTGCCCGTGGATTGTACGGCTTTTCTCAGTGTATCAGCCAAATGGACCCATCCATACTTCTGAAGCGACTCCCCCAATTCGATAGTAGTAGAGTAGGGAGATAGCAACACAAAGACGAATCTTTAAAAAGGGCGTTTTGACAGTGGTCTGTAAAGTAAGCGAGAACAAAAGGAGACAAATTGGACAAAGAAGGTTTGGGGGCGGGCTCGCTACCCACTCAGTCACAAATATGGATTTCCGGAATCATTTAGACTACGATCCACCCGCCCACGAAGCCGCTAGCAGGAGGTCAAAACACAGGCCAAGCCGCCAGTCCCAAGGGGGCAACACCGGCTCGGGATGGATTTTGTGTTCGCCAGGGTGGGTGCAAAGCACAAGCAAGAAACTGTCGCTGAGCATGGTATTTGCCCAGGGGAGGCACATGTCTTGTATGTGTTGTACAGCCCATGTATAGTACTACTGTACATCTTATAAGAAGTACTGTGTAAGTACCTTGTCAGATTCTCACCATTAGCACCCTCTCCGGCATGGTTCGCATGGAATTCGACTCAGGCTGACCGGATATCCCAATCTGGTAATCCGTGACCTTATTCCGGGACGGTTTTAAGAAGCGAGAACGCTCTGACTAAGATGCTGGGGTGCAAGGATACCTCGAATTGTACAGCCCGAACATGTCCGGAGTTTGCAAACCAGTATCAAACGTAGGTATACATACGTCTTGTACAAAAGTAAGAGGCCCGGGAGTTGGGCGAGTCATTTTGATATTCTTCTCTTCTTCTTATGAGATGAGTGCATTCACACTCCTCCGATCTTCGGATCGAGTTGAGTTAGGCGATAGTTGGATAGGTGGATCAGCATTCCACCAATAGCATTGTTCTGGTGAGTCGTCGAACCTTAAAAACTAATGCATGGGTATACATCCTCTCTCGGCTGCCGATGGCCAGGAACAGAGCACAAGTATTCCGATGTACTCCTTCCTTCCTGTAAATATATTTAGATGGCGGGCAGTTCGATGATCCAAAGATTGCCGCTCACTCTAAGGAATTGCGCAATTGACAACAGTCTGATTCGTCTGGTCGATGTAGGCGCAAAGGAAATAGAACCGCTTATGTGGGTTAGATACTGGCAGTTTAGCAGCATACATTACATACGAAATAGGAATTGATATCTTCTAGATCTGAGGAAAGCTGGAAGCTTTTTTTCCCGAAAGATTGAAGGGCTGTTGTCGGTCTCGATGATGTGTATTTTAAGGTGTTGTAGTAGCTATGGCTCGCCGTTGCTGGGCGTAAACCAAGGAGATGTCATTTGGGTGCTGACACTGCACGGTGTATGAATTTTGCCCGGTTTCTATCCTTGCGTTGTCCGCAGCCTATTTGCCATCTCATACTTGACTGTGAGAACTTGGCAGGCACCGGGAGCTATCTAACCCTCAGTGGATGAGACGGATTGTTTTGGAGCAGGTCAGCAGCTCTAAGACGAAAAATGATTGTTGACCTTTCACACACGCGAGCTCACTCTCCTGTTCAATTGTGGATGATTAGATTGGCTGAACGCTGTGGGGGGAGGAGGGAGGGCTCGAGGGCTTGGTATAATCGAGCCAAAAGCAAACACTTATTGGCGTTGGTTAACTTACTACGGAGTACGGAGTATGTATATTCACATCAGGCTGGAAGAAGAGGAATAAATGCGGGGATCTTCAACCGATGATCTGCCCTATCAACTCAACTCTCTGTTGAAGGAGACAGGGCAAACCCTGACACCTCACTCGATAAGAAAGTTGATTAGACAACCAAATGAAATATTTGTGTTGTATGAGCGGGTGGATGGTTTTGATATGGTTTTGCAATCTTTTTTTTTTTTTTTTTTTTTTTTTCTAATGCAAAGATTCGAGGCGTTTATGGCCAAATGAATAGTTAATGGAGGTTGATTAGAATGAGAACTAGAAGCTGCTCGCCTGGCCATTAAAGAATCATGCAGGGTCGGTCGCCGTGTCTGGATCCTTCCTCTTCTTCCTGGTTGTTCCCCTAAAGCGAAACGCCTTAGCTGTTATTATTGTCGTATTCGGGACAAGATCTCCAATAACTACTACTATCTATTATTATTATTATTATTGTCATGGACGGGATCCCTCTTGGCGGTGTGGGGATAACATAACCGTGAAAGAGACAGTTTCTGTGCAAACAGAGAAAAGATATAACTCTGCTCTGCTTCCATTAACTTAACTAACTAGTTATCCATTAACTACGCGAGGCTTTCCGTAACTATGGGTTCATGGTAACTACAGATGGGAATGATGGAAACAATCACCCGAAAACAAGAACATCGGGCTCAGCGAATATTCCATTGTCCATCTCCATTCGTATCAACAGGCGCCTCTTCTCGTGCTTTGGCCCATGGGACTACCCGTTAGACCAAGCTTGATATGCCGAGGCGGTGCTCGCCAAACCAAAAAAAAACCTTGTTGTGAAGAAGGTAACTTTATACCATATATAGTTATATATATCTGGAATCTGACCAAAGGCAGGCTAGGCCCATCAGCGAAATGCTAGGCTGCCTGTGCTGCCTGTGCTGCTGGTGCTGCTGTGCATCACCAATCCGAGGCCCACAGCCAACGCTGCGTACCCTTGATACCTGCATCCTCCCCGCACGGGGCTTTGGCGATGGCGGTTTTGTTTCCTCTCTTTTTTAAAATCCATCCCGTTGCGCAAGTCACACTAAAAGCCGCTAGTCAGCCAGAGCTGGCGAACAAATCGTTGTGTCTGAGCTCGCCAACGCTGCTCTGAGCACTTCACTAGCAATAATCCAGGACGACTTGCAGATGATGCTTTCGCCCTTGGGAGGGATCGTCCTGCCGGAACAACTCTCATACACACACACAGCAGCATGAGCGCTAGTTAACAAAAGGACTATTATTGCCTGGATCAACAACCCAGGCTTTGAAGATGGATTTTTCCAAACTGAGCAAAGCGCAAGCCAAAAGGCACCCTCGCAACCCCGGGAGGAGAGGAGTTCGCTCATGTTCATCTTGTCAAGTAGAATATATATCGAGGCAATAATAATAGACCCAATAATATAAGTTAATAATAATATAAATATAATCATCATAGTAATAGCTGCCTTCCTGCTCCTCTCAACTTTCCATCGTAACTTGCCTGCTCTTTTTTATTCCCTCCCCTCCCTCCCCTCCACTTCTTCGTTCTTCTCCTCCCTGCACCAGCGCTCTCTGGGCGCCTCAGCTCTTGGTGCTCGCTCCTCCTGCCTGCCGGAATCTCCATGTTGTTCATGCAAAGGAAGCCTGCCCTTTCGTCCCGCCATCTCGCGCCGGACTATGGGTATAGTGAACGTCTATGGGACCATACGACTCCAAGGGCGGCAAGTGCCTTAGTCCCCGATTGTCGTAACCAACAGCTGGCAACCGCTTTCTTTACCCCGACGTCCTCTTCAACCCTGCTGCGGTCTCCAGCGACCTCTTCCAGCGAGGTCTTCTCTCGAGTGGTAATTTCGCCCGGCGAGGATGTTTCGAATCAGTACACTCGCACCTGTTCATTGGACACGCGACCCAACCTCACTCGAACCCAAACCCTCGACGCTCTCGATTTCAGTTCCGAGTCCCCCTTTAAACATGCTCAGGAACAATCCCCCACTTCCTCGCATTCTTCCAGGACATTTAGTTTCGCTATAATCTCCTCCCCCGATACGGATATCACGGCGGACGACGTGACGCCAAAAGTGGAAGAAATTGAAGATGAGCAAGCCGTCTCGCTGGGAGAAATCAAGGAACAAGACCACAGGGACTCAGATCCACGAACGTGTTCTGGGGAACCTCCGGTGCCGACTGCCATCGAGGCTCCAAGGAAACGGGGCAGGCCGCGAAAACACCCACTACCTACGCCTGGACAAGCGAAGGTCGCCAAAGGAAGATCCAAAACGGGATGTATTACTTGCAGAAGAAGAAAGAAGAAATGTGACGAGACGAGACCTTCGTGTTTAAATTGTCAAAAGAACGCGGTGTTTTGTGAGGGTTACCCTGTGAAGGAGATATGGAAAAGCGGAAAGCAGAAGATGGAAGAGGGTACATACATACCCTCAAACTCGCCGCCCCTTTGAATCCGTCCTTTCTACATCCAGATATGAGGACGTTCTCATGGTTTCTGCTTAACTCGCATACTGACTTACGCTTTACATAGAAGTTCGAAAGAATTATCTCGCGGCTATCCCCCGTGGTCTTCCAACCCTAATAGACGGGATAGAAACTGATGTCGATCGAAGATTCCTTGACCATTTTGTTTTCGATTTTAGCAGAGTGCTTACACTCATTAACGACGACTCCAATCCATTCAAAGAGATTTTGTTGCCAATGGCTACCCAACACCGGGGCCTCATGCATTCGTTGATGTGTCTCTCCGGCTCGCATCTTTCCACGAGAGACCCAGAACCGCAGTTTAAGGAGCGCAAACACTACCATTTTGACCAAGCAATTACGGATTTAAGGATGATAATAACGTCGCGAGCGGGAACAACTGATGAGCCAGAGCTTCCCGTAAATGACCCTATGATTGCGGCTACCCTCGCTTTATGTCTGAAAACTATATGCGAGGGAGAAACGAGGGGAGAGTATAGGTCGCACATGGATGCGACGCGATATTTCCTACGAACCCACCCACCAAAAAATATAAAATTTAAGCAGTTCATCATCGAATTTTTCCAATACCATGACATTTCAAACTCCTTGACCACGCTTGACCGCCGACCCCTTTGCCTTACAGGTGACCTTCGCCTACCAGACTTTGTGCCCCATGCCCAGGCTGGCGCACTCTTGGGCATTTTCGACGGCTTGTTTCACTACATTTCAGAAATCACTGTTCTTCGCGACAGAATCCGACAGCGGATTATACATGGTATTGAACCCTGGATCGACTACCAGACACTGAGCGAAGCAGTGTCGATTGACTCGTCGATACGAGCCTGGGAGCCGATTTACCCGCCGGATAACCCTAACTGGTACGCGGCGCAGTTATACAGGCAGTCGACATGGGTGTACCTTTATCGAACCATGCGCCCCTCCCGCCCAAGCGAGAAAATATCTCGAGTCGTCGATGATGGGCTTGTGTTTCTCGATCAACTTCCTATCGATGCCGGTGCCAATTCCATCATGTTAATGCCGCTGTTCCTCCTTGGCTGTTCGGCCTTCGAAACTAAACAGCGCGAGCGCATAAAGAGAGGCTTCGATAGCCTGCAAGCTTATTCAAGCTTGCGGAATATAGAACCGGCCCTTCGGGTTGTTGAAAAAGTATGGGAAATCATGGACCATAATATCGAGGAAAGCTGGGATTGGGAGAAGATCATCGAAGATATGGATATGGATTTCTTAATTACATGATTCCCATTGCCATATGCTTCGGCTGCATCTGTCTTTACTCATATCCACGCTGCGACTTCTTCTCCGTACACTTCTTCAATATTTTCTTTTCCGTCATTTTTTGTCTCGACTTAGCATGAATGTCTGCACGGGTGGCGTTCCTTCTAAGCTATTGAAAGCACGGAGTAAGGTGCTAAGTTCTTATTGCTGGCGACGATGGTAGCTCATTATCCCCCGGCTTCATTAACTGGTTTTTTTTTTTTTTTTTTTTCCCAAAACGTTTCTCGTTTTAGCCATCTCCGCATTTATTTCCAGCGTTTGTCGTGCTTATTCTGCAAACTGTTGGTTTTCAAAAGGGCATCTTTATGAGATTGATTTCGGGGCGTTTCACGGTTCTCGGATTTTCTCTTCGCCCAATCGTAACCTTTCGCATTCAGGATATGCCTTAATTTTTCTCAGTTTCTCTCAATTTTGCATAATCTCTTCTTGTCCTTATCCTTGTTCCCCAGTTGCGATTGTGCGTTCATCTGGAGACCCCCTTTCTCACCATGATTCCTCTTGTAGCCCTTGCGGAAATTTGGATTGTCGGAAACGGTTTAGACGAGGGAACTCTTTCTACAATAAATCCAAATGTCTCCTAGGGCATTTAGGCAGACTAGTTTCTGGTTCATCTTTGAGCACTTGATCTTTCTGATTACTCCCACTTTCTAGAGAGAAAAAAAAAGAGACCATTGAAATATCTTTCTCTGCCCATGGCCGAATATTCTCGTTTCAATTGTTTTCTTGGGAGAGTTTGGGGAAAGTCAAAAACGCAGATATCATAATAATAAGGTCCGGGACGCTTGTTTGTGTTCACTCTTGACTAATTCTCCAAAGGCAGCCTCAGTCCTATTTTCTCACCATTTCCACTTCCATTCGAATTACAATTCAATTTCGATTGCAGCTTTGATTTTGGTTCACATGATTTTTCCACAATGTTACTTGCGGATGCATGGCTTGTTGAGCCTTGCACGCAGTCATGGCCAGCTCGCCAAAACGGAGAGGTTTTCTTCCAACATTGCGACCGTCAGCATCTGCCTGGTCCCTTTATATCAGCATTTCAGGTCAGAAAGTTGAACCGCTTGTGTTTATGAGTATGGAATACTCGAATCCCATTGCGTTAAATTTCACGGATCTTCGGTGAGATCATGAAACAAGGGCGAGTTAAGGGTCAATACTTTTCAACTCCGGTGAGATGAATGACTGTGTCAGAAGCGCCTGGCTGTAGGTCAGTAGTAATACCCGAATGAATATATATCTGTGTAATCGCTACTATTCATTGACCGTTACTCCCTTAATAAGAAGGCCCAAAGAACTGGCGAAATTGAGTTCTGCTTGAGGTGAAACATAACACTTCCGATCGCCCGGTATTTTGCATAACCACTTCCACCGACACCCCCCCCTAGTTCTACATTTAGTTACCCTCAACAATCCCTGACTGCCATTGAGGACGGTGGCAATCATAAGGAGCCAGGACACCACACCCTGGAGAATAAAATGCAACTAACGCCTAAGCGAGGCTCTAGTGGGTCTGCCCAAGCGCGAGTGGAATCTATCGTACCCGGAACCCGTTCCAGCCGAGCGTCCAAGCTCTACACAGTACTGTACTGTGTACGTTCTTCGGGAGCGAGAGGATACAGCTTCAAATGTGCATCACAGGCTCACTCCTTGTGGTGACCTTGGAAGCCTAGGATTGAATAATTGGGCTAGAAAGATGTCATTATTTATGCGTACGTTACTGCGAAGAAGGATCCTCGTGCTTCTCGGCGAGATTCACCATCAAGTAGTATCTCGCTTCTTAGCCCACCTCCATATTGCTGTCCCATTGCTGCCCCAGCCCCACAAGGTCCAGGGTGCTGCTTAAGCGGGGAATTTTTCGGGCTGGGTTCAGAATAAAACTTAATAAGAAGAAACAACAAACCCTCGCCGCCCATTTCTTTGACATCATATCAAATGCTATACCAGGGGAGTGAAACTTCGGGCTTGGGATATGCAGTGAACCACAGTCCTCTCGACGATCGATTCCCTAATTCTTGGGCAGGCTCTCGAAGCAGGCAAGACAACAGATTAGATTGTCTTAGTGGTCGTTTGAATATGGCAGTTGATCCAGAGAAGTTGGTTGACAGCGTTGGCGGTCAGGATGGTTCATCACTAGAAGACCTAGAGGATAATCCAGCACATTTATCCCTCCGTGCGGTTCAACCTGTCGACGTCAAAGTCCGCGACCTAGTTGTCCGTATCGATACAACCCCTCCAATATTTCAAAGCTCTCCACGATTACTCTGGAACCGCATCCGATGCAAAACGGACAGCCCCATCAAGTCCGTTCTCCATGGCGTCTCCGCAGATATGCCACAGGGTAGCTTGACGGCGATAATTGGCGGCAGTGGCTCGGGAAAAACCAGCTTGTTAAATGCCATATCAGGTCGCATGAATGCACGTCGCGTCAAGACATCTGGTTCAACGACTTTCAATGGTAGCGCGGATATCAATTCCATTCGCAGCGCGTACGTGATGCAACAGGATGTTCTTATACCGACCCTAACTGTGCGGGAAACTCTTCAATATTCGGCGGATTTACGGCTTCCTCCCCCGACTACTCAAGCGGAACGACAAAGCGTTGTCGAACAAGTCATTCTGGAGCTGGGCCTGAAAGAATGCGCAGATACCCGGATCGGAAATTCCGCGCACAAAGGATGTAGCGGAGGTGAAAAGAGACGCACAAGCATTGGAGTTCAAATGCTTGCGAATCCCTCTGTTCTGTTCTGCGATGAGCCAACAACTGGTATGTTTTGACCAACGCTGTCCCTCTTCATTGGTAGCCAAGTTTAGAAACTCTAGGTACCTACTTTCCTGGTACCTATGTAGTTCTTTTGCATGGTTATGAGAAACGTGTTTCCTGATTATATTATGGTTAGGGTTGGACGCTACAAGCGCTTTTCAGATTATCAGAACCCTAAAAAGACTTGCACAAGTTGGAAGAACAGTTATAATATCCATCCATGCTCCTCGATCTGAGATATGGGGCCTTTTCAATCGTGTGGTGCTTTTATCGCGAGGCACAGTCCTCTATAGTGGACCAGCGGACGCCTCCATAGACCATTTCGCGCAATGTGGCCATCATCTTCCGCCGTTTGTTAACCCAGCAGAATATTTAATCGATTTGGCCGCATATGATAACCGATCAGAAGAAGCAGAATTAACATCATCCGCACGCGTTGAGGCATTGAAAGATGCCTGGAAGGCAAAAGCCACCAGAGTTGGTGTCACTGAGAAATTGGATTTGGAGGTTTCTCCTGATCGACCTGGACCGGCCTCAGATGTCGTACCACAAAGGAATGTTGATTTTCGTCGACAGTTTCAAGTTTTGACGGCGCGGACTTTTAAAGTAACAATCAGAGATCCAATGGGAGTAGCTGGGAGCTTCTTCGAAGCCATCGGCATGTCTGTCATCACTGGTTGGATTTTCCTTCGATTGGACATGAGCCTAGCGGGGATACGTTCACGACAAGGCAGCCTTTATATCGCCAGTAGTCTGAACGGCTATTTAATTCTGTTATATGAGACTTTTAGACTCACCACTGACATCCAGGTTTTCGATCGAGAGCGAATCGAGGGGGTGGTAGGTGTTCCGTCGTTTTTACTCAGTCGACGCGCTGCACGGTTACTTCTTGAAGATCTACCAGTACCCACGCTGTTCTCGATAATCTTCTACTTCATGGTCGGATATCGTCTTCAACCTGCCGAATTTTTTATGTTTCTCGCACTCAATATTCTTACCCAATATACTGCCGTCACATATGCTGCTGTTTGTATAGGAATCGCACGGTCTTTCCCTGGTGCAAGTCTGGTAGCGAACCTCTCCTTTACACTACAATCTATCGCCTGTGGCTATTTCGTGCAGTCAAACCAGATCCCCGTTTACGTGAGATGGCTGAAATGGATCACGTATTCATTCTACACGTTTAGTGCTCTCTGCACCAATGAATTTATCGGGCCTAATGGTCCACTCTGGGGCCAATTCTATGGCTGCCCATATTCAGATGATCCTGCCGACCCCCGTTGCAAGGAATATACTGGAAAATTTATCATAAACAGTCTTGGATTTCCTTCAAATTGGCTCTGGCGCCCAACGCTGATTCTGTTCTCCTTCGTGGTTTTTTTCTACATTGTTGCAGCGCTGATACTTCAATTCCGAAAGGTTGATATGGACATTGCCCAGGCGATAAACAAGGCTGGAGATCTTTCTGCAGGAAAGGAGAAATTAGTCGCTCGACCACTGGAAGGCGCCCGGAAAGTCTCTATCCGCCTTAGTAAATATGAATTGGAGATCCAGAAAAGATCCTTAGGAAGGCGAGGGTTCACCTCTTCCCGATTAAGCGTATTGAAGCCACTATCAACCGAATTCCATCCTGGACAACTCAATGTTATCATGGGACCATCTGGAAGTGGTAAAACCTCGCTGCTGTGTTCCCTTGCGAAGCGACTGCAAAGTTCCTTTGGAACTCGATACCGCGTTGGCGGTGAGATGTTTTATAATGGAGCGGTGCCCTCAGAAAGTGTAATCAGATCAGTCACTTCGTTTGTGACTCAAGATGATGATGCTCTGATGCCGTCTTTGACAGTACGGGAGAGTCTCCAATTTGCTGCTGGCTTGCGCCTACCTTCTTGGATGTCAACGGAAGAGAAAAATCGGCGTGCAGAAGACATTCTTCTGAAAATGGGTCTCAAGGACTGCGCAAACAATTTAATTGGCAGTGACCTTATTAAGGGTATTAGCGGCGGGGAAAAGCGAAGAGTCACCATTGCGATACAGATCTTAACAGACCCGAAAATTTTGCTCCTGGATGAACCTACTTCTGGCCTAGATGCCTTCACGGCCACATCTATAATCGAGGTTTTGCAAGGTCTGGCAGCTGAGGGCAGGACTCTTATTCTTACGATACACCAATCCAGATCAGACATTTTCCGCCACTTCCACAACATTTTGCTGCTCTCCAGGGGCGGTCACCCTGTTTACGCAGGAAAAGGAGCAGATATGCTATCTTATTTTGGGCAACTTGGATTCCCATGCCCCAAGACTACGAATCCTGCCGATTTTGTTCTGGATTTAATTACAGTAGACCTCCAAGAGAAAAAGCGAGAAGCGGTGAGCCGTGCAAAGGTGCAACGGTTGATCACACATTGGGCAGAAATGCCAGTGGAATTGAGTCGCCAAACATCAGTGATTGCCACTCCTGCTGAACTGGGAAGTCTGAGGAGACAAATCAATTCCTTCGGCGTCATTTTGCCCTTGGTCCTGCGTCGGTCTCTAATCAATCTGCGGCGACAACCGCCGCTTATCTTTGCGCGAACGATGCAAGTGGTGGGAATGGCAATTATCATATTGTTGTTTTTCGCTCCCTTGCAGAATAATTATGAGGCTGTACAGTCAAGGATGGGAATCCTCCAGCAGTTCGCTGCTATGTACTTTGTTGGTGAGTAAAGCCTGCAGCCCCCGTCGAATCCCAATGCCAAAAGGTTTTTCCGAGATGTGGTCAGTTAACCCTAAAACAGGAATGTTACAAAATATTGCTATCTACCCCAACGAACGAGATGTCTTTTACCGCGAACAGGAAGATAACTGTTACTCCATCGAGGCATTTATTGTACAATACACGATTCTCGAAGTCCCCTTCGAAATTCTCTCCTCGCTAGTTTTCGGGGCGTTTATGGCATTCGCGGTTGGTATGCAACGCACGGTGAAAATGTTTCTCATCGCAGCCTTCAATTGCTTCTGCATAGTCAATTGCGGCGAATCGCTAGGGATTATGTTCTGTACTTTATTCTCCCACGCTGGCTTCTCTGTAAACATTACCTCAATCCTTCTTTCCATCGCCAACATTCTCGGAGGCGTAATGAGCCTCAACATCCCCGTCGTTATTCAAGCCCTTAACAATCTCTCGCCCATCAAATATGCGGTTGCGAATCTGGCCGGTTATTCCGTGGCCGGTCATCAATTCACTTGTAGCGACTCCCAGCGCCTACCCAACGGCCACTGCCCCATCGAGACCGGTGAACAGGCCTTGAGGTTGTATAATTTGGACAAGAACCCTGAGATGAATTTGATGGCTTTGGGTGTTTGCACGATTATCTATCGGCTGGTGGCGTATGGTTTGTTGAGGGTAGCCCGATCCCATGGGTTTTGGGAGAGAGTTCGAGTGCTGTTTCGAAAGCAAGGGGAGACAAAGGTGAAAGGAGAAAGTACGGGAGCGGCGAGATGAGACAATTTTTAGTTGGAATCCTTCCCCCATTCATGGCTATATAATTGATAAATTGATGTTTGGATATAAAAATGTTTTCTTCTTCTATAAAACACCCAACAAGGATTTAAGTGATCCTCTACTACTCCAAGCGGCTGACCATTCTTGATAGATTGCATAGATGAGGACTCTTGCAGAATCACCTCCTTTGTCTCTACCTCCAAATCAGAAACCTAAAAGGCTGCCAACCATTCTATAGACGGGCTCACTGGCCAGCTTCGAATCAGGTGCACGTGATTTAGAAATATAGCCAATATTTCGGTTCGCGACTCGGAATATGCCCAGATACACAATCCTGTAGCCGCTCTCAGCTATAAGGAATTATTAATAATAATGTAAAACTGTAGGAGGATTCATCCCCTCCCTCGTCTGGGCGCGAGGCACAATTAGCACAATCCCATTGTAACAACTATAAGCTGTTAGTTCAGAAGTATCAATCAATAATTTCTCACACTAATTCTATACAATAGAGGGATCCTGCAGCGCCAAGTCGCATGAAATATTTAGTACGCACAGCCTTCCTATATAGGCATAGATGCCACGATTCGGCGCTGCTGTGGCATAGGCCTTGTAAATATTGTATTCATCTAATCGAAAACCTCTTGTATGCCGGGTAACTAATGGATATAATAATAATCCGTCACTGTAATAAGCAGCTGCAGCTGCCACTGCCACTGCTGCCGCCGCTTGTACAGTTATTTTGAACTCCAATAATAATAATAAAAAGTGAGGTCTTTCATATGGATATCAGCCGCCTGTTCCATACACCCATTTTGATTTCAATCTTGAAAATATAAGGGCTTGATGGCAATAATGGTGATGGTATGGCAATTGTGAATGCAAATCAGGGGGATAGATAACATGGATAGGATAGAGAAAGGCCTAGGTGGAGTTGATGATCAATCTGCCTTACAACAATATGAGATATGAGGCTAACTTGATGATGAAGCGCCAATTATTATAACTAACTGAATAAGGAAGGCTGTACTGTACAGCACTAATTACATGCGCATACTACGCAGTATGTATGAATTCGTGCGGAAACATCGCATGTACGGATCCACCTGTGTGATAGGATAGTGGCATTAATTAAAAACACCACTGAACATTAATTTACGTGACGTTAAACCATATAAGGAAGGCTATTACTGCGAAAGGTGCTTGCAGGATCCCTCTATTAAATCTGATTTGTTGATACAGATTCACTATCTCATGTTCTGCTCTACTCTGTATGTGTTCTTCTGTCAACTTTCTCATTCATCATTATTGAATTCCTCTGCTTGTGTCTGATGTGTATAAAAGAAAGAGAGCAAGAGAGAATAAAGATAGAGTTTCAAGATCAAGATCTGGTTGTGCTCTATATAATAATATTTCTTTCTCTATAATTTAGGAGTTCCAATTCTATATCTTAATTAGGGTTAGGTCAATAGATTACATAAATTACACTAAAACAAGTCAATACAGTTGATTCCCTCATATAACCCAGTAGTTTCTGTGTATTTAATGCGCTAATGTATAGTGTACGTACACGCTAAAGAAATCACGCTAATTGTTCCTCGCCACAGACGAGGGGATAGAATGTGGGGCACGTGACTACGGTGGCAGGAGCGAGAACCAATATTAATCCTTATCTCAGCATGCTCAGCCTCTCTTCTCGATATTTTCGGATTAGCGCGACCAACTAAACTCCTTTAGACTTCTGTCAAGTCCTGCTAACTTCTGGACCAATAAGAGACTTCACACATGCTTGCAACCTAATATCTCATAGAGAGTCTGAGAAGAAACAGTTTCATCATATATGAAAAATCAACTTCACTCATATAAAATATTCAATTAACTTTGAAATCATATATCTACTCTAAATATCTGTCTGATCATTATCAAATCAATATTTTTCAAATTCTCAGTCATTCTGCTATCATCTCTGCTATTTTACAACTCACTATCTCTTCTCATCATGTCACAATTATTGATAAAAGACAGCATGTCTTTTGAATCTCAAGACACTCAATGTCAGACATACTTCAGTCAATATTTTTCATCACTTGAAGATGAATTCTCTCTACAATTATTACAGTCTCTTAACAATGTAGATAATGAATATAACACATCAGACAGTGACTTAACAGAGCTTGAATCTATTGATACTTCTTCAGAATTCAAGATCACTGATACTGATACTGATACTCTGTGAGCTTGTTCATGATTAAACTGCTGTGACTCACAGCACCTGTCTATAATATCTTATAACTGGCAGAAAAGATGATTAAAATTATCTCATATTATCAGAATATTACAGTAAAATAGTTAAGAAATGAAGATCTTTATAGAGACTTGAATTCAGAGTTCTGATATCTTGACTTATCAATAATACAGTACTTCTACAAAGTGGTGAAATGCACTATATTCAGTGCTTTTCAAAGCAGAGATATTCAATGATAATCAATATTATACTGTCTTACTTAAACAGAAGCTGAAATACCTTATTAATACTCTCTTCTTTACAAAATTTAATTACAATTCTGATCTGAATATCATTGACTTTCAGACTGCTTTTGAGATTATTCAGACTGATACATCAACCTAGTTTGACCTACTTACTTCTGTTCTAAAAAATAAACACATCAATTGAAAGAGTTATAAATGAGACTCAGATGAAACAACAGCTATCAAACAGCTGTTTATTATTATAAGTATTATATATCACTCTTATTTCTTGAAAAACTTGAACTTCTTCAGCTCTATTCTCTCTGTATATTTTCATAACTCAGGAGTAAAATAACAAGTGATAGAAATCATTTCTGACTTTGAACTCTGTCACAGCTATATGATGAGAAATAGATTAATAATGAAAATTGCTAAATAAGAGAAGATATGACTTAATATTCTTAACTTATTAATATTTCTATCTAATATCTTAAACTTCTAGTAATCTCTGATAACATCTGTTATTTTCTGATATATTCTTTGAACTTCTATCAACTTCTGAGTCAATCACTTGACTAATTCTTACTGTTAGATTAAACTTTGACAGCTTGTCAAAGATTCTCAAGTCATTATAGTCTATGATAATATGAACTTCAAGAAGACTGTATAAGATGAGACAATCAGATACAATGATTTCATAGCTGCTGTGACTACTACTGCTGTGATTATTTCTCTCAATATTTCAGAAACTGGTCTAACTCAGATCATGCATGATTTCATAAGACTGCTAATACTGTAAGAAATTATTGATGCATCTGATATGACAGACAATGATAATGAGCTTCAGAAGTAAATAATATCATGTCTTATTTCAGATACTGTTCAAAAGATTTATAATAATGAGATTAAAAGTGTTTTCAGTACTACAAATGATTTATTATCTCAAATATCTGTTGTTAATACACTTTCTATGTATAGAACACATTTTCAGCAGTTGAGTGCTATTTTTGAAAATGAGAGTACTATTGTGAGAACTATGAGAGTTCATGAGAAGATATTTAATAATTTTCTTGATTTATTAAGAGATTATACAGCATTTTCAACTCATCTCTTTTCAGTGTATAAAGATGCTTTGATCACAAAACTTATTCAGTCAGTCAAGATAAAGCAGTCAAAATCTACAGATATCTTTGAACAGTGTAACTGACTTCATTCTATTTCTGAATGATTTCATATTCAAATGAATCTACTCTTTATCATTATCTGTACTTATTTTAAAGCTTAAGTCTCTGAGAAGACTTATCACTGTATTCAGTCTGATCTCACTTATTGAAACTGAAATTCTATGGCTGCTATCAATTCAAAATATCATCTTCTTGAGTCAGTGATTTCTCAGAGCTTTGCATCTCAAAGTCTTACTCTATTTTATACTATTATATAATATTGAGATTATTCAGTTAGCAATCTTGAGCACTCAGAAGATATCAATTCTATTATATAACAGCTTAGTTCTTCACAGTATCTTCAGCTTATTGAAGATGTATACATCAAAGCATTTACTCTTAATATCTGAAATGAAATCAACTCTCAAATCTCTCAGTCTACTCAAGATATCAAATTCTGTATCATATATCACCTTCTTCAAGAATGTGAATTATTCATTCAAATACACTATGCTGTTAAGCATGATGATATTGAACTTCTTAAGTACTTCATTTCATCTCTGATTATCTTCTTTCTTAATACTGATTAATATAATTATGTCACTGAGATACTTCATTATTTTTAAATACTTCAATTTATCAAAACTTCTTCTCTGTATTAAGCAATTATAACTGTGAGTCTTGTCAACTGATCTGGAAAACTCAGCTTCTTCAAAGCAATTAATCTAGACATGAAACATCTCAATGATAGCTGTAAGCTGGAGATGAAATGCTATAAAAATTCAATAAAGAATATCTATCTTATATTTGATTGAGTCTGTCTGTTAAATACATGAGTTCATCAGCTATAGCAGATTTTAGAGTCTATCTTTGAGTATTCACTTACTGAGGAATATACAAGTGCTGTTACTAAGCTTGAGATATTCTCTACTGTTAGAAGTCTGTTAAAGAATAATTATATCTCATCTCAAGATTTACTTTTACTGTCAAAGAAACATATGTTTAACTTCTTAAATATACTTTTGATTGAAGTGAAAGATCTGAAGAAGAAGATTGAGCACTTTAATTAAGTATGAATTCAGCAGCAGTTGATTGCAATGAACTTGAATTTGAATGATATAATTATTGATACTGAAGTTAAGTCTTATTCTGAGAAATTCAATAATAATATAGAGTAAGATTCTATTTTCATTGAAAATACACTATTTTTATCTACTGTAAATAATCTATCTGATACTTTGAAAACAATTCTGAAGAAGAATAACTAAAATTGATGAATATACTGAAGCTTTACTTACTTTATCTTTCTTTGATATACAATGTTACATTTTTGCTGATAAATATATTAATAATAGAACTTCTGCATTATTCTGTCAACTTGTGAGTCAATCAAATATCAAGATTTAAAATAAATATGACTAATATCTGATAAATTTTATTTTTAAGATATCATTTTTCAACATTAACTAATTTACATTTATAACTGATACTTACAAAGAATGCTTATATAGAATCTTCAACATATTTATCTGTACAGATTACTTATTTATTAGAGTTCTACTTAAAACCTTCTTCATAAAGTAGAGCAGTATAAATAAAATAAGAATCTAAACTGTCAGAGCACTGCTTCTCAGTGAAGAAGAAGATGACCTCTTTGACAGCAATCAATGTGACTGTGTCAGTGAGAATGTGCTGAGATTCTTGAGCTTGTATTTGAAGATACTACACCTGCTCTTGCATGCAACAACTCAGCAGTGAGAACAAGAATTCTCAGACTTGATTATCTGAGCTCTCTCCTTCTCAGAGTACACTCAACATTTCTCATTATTCTCTTGACAGACAGCACACCTGTTCTTTCTCAGCAG